CCTCCACCCCCATCCCCCCTTCACTCCCCTCCCCCGCCCTCCCATCTCCACTCCCCTCCACCGCCATCCCCCCTACCCAGGCCACAACATGCTGCAGAAACAGGGCCCTTGCTCTCTCTGTGGAAGCAGTGGTCTCTCTGCAGAGGTCTGACATGTCTCCTGCTGAGGCATAGCTCTCCAATTACTACTGCGGAATGGAGAGCTCTGACTTAGCAAGATACATGTCAGACCTCTGCAGAGAGACCACTGCTTCCTCACAGGTTCCTTCTCTGCTACATGCTGACAGGGGACAGGCTACTCTACGTTCCATCCGGTCTATCCTTCAGTGAGCGGAGCGACTCTTCATGTCTGAGAGTAGAGCCACATGTAGGCGCCGAATTATAAAGGTTTTAGCCGCCACTGTTCCGAGTGTGCCGGGGGACATAGTGACAACTTTAAAGCTGCCCAATCACTTCTACATGTACAGGAATATGCCCGTCCCCCGTCCCATCCCGCTTCCCCCAATGTAACAGTTAGAATAGACAGAAAGCACAGGAAGCTCACAGGATTTCTGGCAGGATCAGCAGGGATTTTTTGGCACTTATTGAACAGGTATCAGAAAACACTTTCAAATGGATATTTAAGAGAAATTAATTGTTGTGGTTCACATTCATTTTGAACGGGCATCTCGTGAACAATGTTACTTTGTATCTCTCTATCTTCCTCTGATCAATGTTTATAAACAATGTTACTTTGTATCTCTCTATCTCCCTCTGATCAATGTTTATAAACAATGTTACTTTGTATCTCTCTATCTCCTCTGATCAATGTTTATAAACAATGTTACTTTGTGTCTCTCTATCTCCCTCTGATTTATGAACAATGTATCAGGCAGTCATGTTTCAGCACCTTCTACGGTTTATGAATTTTACATTTTAATGTTTCTTTTTCATTACTGGAAATTTCCAGCAAGTCTCAGAGGGGAAGCGGCAGCAGGACGGGACATACTACAGACATTCTGTGATTAAGTTTTTAGGGCTCGTAGATCGTCCACAATTTGTTAAGATTAAAGCACACAAAGTGCACTTGGGAAATGGGAAATTGCTGTCTTGTACATCAGCCTCTACAGCCAACCGAAGCACAGAAACACTCCATACATCAAAGCATCTGAAATAGGAACCGTCTGTGTGGTGTTGTCACCAATCACATTGCGAGCTGCACTGAAGGGAGAATGAAGGTGACATTGTGGCTGATCTGGGGCAGCGCAGACAGTTCTTATTTCTGTTCATGTATCTGTATAATCACCTTATAATCCAGCAGTGAGCGCATCTGCTCGGCGTCCAGCTTGCCGACGGCGTCACCGACCTCCTCCTCCGGAGCTTCCACCTTCTGTGACAGAGAATGGGGAAAGATCATTAGCAGCCAGGTATATAAATGTTGTCACAGAAACAGCGAGAGGAAAGTCGCGGCGCGGAGTGTTTCCAGGGGTCACGGCCGGCAGCAAACAACACAAACATACAAATGGCATTTATTACTCCGGATAAATAGAAATCACAACTGAAGCAAGTGCATCCAAAATGTAATCAGTTCAATCATCTGTATTGTGTCCCTTATTTATATAACAAAAAAGTCAGAGAATTTTAAAAAAAAAAGACACAAAATAAATGTAATATATTGTAAAAATGTAACACATTTGTTTTTGAGTGTGTTAAAACAAATGTGTTACAAATGTGCACAACACCCTGTGGTGTTGAGCAGACCGATTGTCGGGGAGGGTGGATGTGATACAATACAGCGACGGACATACTCATCCCGAGTACCGAGGTCCGTCACACTCTCTACGTACCACGTTGTGCACAGGAAGGCCGTCCAGGCCGTCTTCTTTAACCGCCACATCGTCATTGCGCCCCGCGTCCGGCACTTCATCGGCTGCAAAGATAGAAGACAGATCCGTGTTAAAGAGAACCTCCAGCTCCGGGGTTGGCTCAGCATTCCGGATGTGAGGAAACTATTATAATGAAAATTGTGTTACATTGTATCTGGTCATTTCCTTTTTTTTTTTGTCTCTTTAAATTGAGGAATGAAAGTGATCGCATCTAAAACAATGCAGCTCATGAGACTGAGATCCACCAGGGATGGTGGGAGCCCCTCATAATGGGCACAGCGGGTGTACAGACCCGGGAACTCAGCACAGGGATGGGGGGAGCCCCTCATAATGGGCACAGCGGGTGTACAGACCCGGGAGCTCTCCACTAATGTCAGTCTCAGTCCCTCTTTAGGATTCTGCACATTGGCGTTGTCGGTTCCGCTGGCTGGAGACGCATGGAGTATCAGCTGTACTTTGCGGTATTATTTAATGAATCTTCAGTCACATTTTCTGGTGTGGCGCAGTGCCAGTGGTTGGCGCCTCTCCCCGGCAGCGGGTGAGCAGAATGTTACGGTAGATGAAATGTTCTCGCTGGCACGGTGCGGGGTGGATCTGCGCCATTACAATTATTGAGGGAGATCGAGCAGGTCGGAGGATCAATTAGTCGATGATAATTAAAACTCTGTGCCCCCCTCCCCCGTGTCCCTGAACACCGAGATATTTCGTATGCCAGTTCCTGGCGGCTCCAGTTCTACCGCCACCTGATTTCTAGAAGACAAAGCGTCCAACGGGATGAGAGCCGCAGACGGTTGGCCATGTGTAGGGAATGGTGTGAGCGGGCGGGTGACTGTAGTCGATGTTTGATGAGGTCACAGAGCAAACTAGATGACACACAAGAAGAGTATGGAGGCCCATTCACATTTTTTGGGTGTGGAAAAGGTATCACCACAGTGCCAATCATCGACAGTTTACTAGTGCAGAAAGAGGCACTGATGTCATCACCTAGGTGCCACGCTCTGCATCACTATGGAGCACCCACCATTGAGGAAGTGGCAAAGAGGAACCCGTGTGTCACGTGACCAACTTAGAGACTTATTACAGCACAAAAAGCATACTGCCAGTGGGAGCCAAGATGGCGGCTGTCATGGAGCCCGGAGCTTTATTTGCACTTGTTTTTAAGCTTTTAAAATTTGCAGCTTTCATTAAAATAATCCCTGGTGGTCCTGCCATGAAGGGTTTTCTTCACTCACTTCCTGGTATACGGTGACAACGCTCTGTTCCTCTGGCTCACAATTGACAAGGGACTGGCTCAGTGTTCTCTGTACAGCACTGCGGTATTTGTCAGAGCTATATCAATGTATGATAATAGTGTGTGACTTTGGGGGGACATTAGAGTGTAAGCTTCTCTGTACAGAGACTGATGTGACTGTGGGGGGGGGGGGGGGTAGAGGG